TAGCATACAGTATTCTACAGCAGTAAGAATATGTAAGTAATATAATTCAGTTGATCTATGACCTGTGTTGGGATATAAGTTTATATATTAATTTTCACCTGACTGGTCTATCTGTTGGTGAGAGTGTGATATTGAAATCCCCCACTGTTATTGTACCAAAGCCTGTAGCTTATGGCCATCCTCATAACTCTAAGACAGTACTCCCTTCCTCACTAATATGAAAAAAAGTTAGTCATCAAAACACACTAGTAGAAATTACACATCATAATTATTTAAAATATAAAATAAGATATATGTTCATGGATATCTGTCTCAGCATTATTTTTTAATACAAGTAACATAAAATAACAAAATGCCCAGTAAAAATAACTATATTGTATAGTATATATAGGATACAGTACAACATTTTAGCTAAAAAACAAACAAACAAAAAACTACCCTTTACTTTTACTTTGTGAGATGTACACAAAATAAAAAACAACTACCACATGAACCAGAAATTCCAGTTCTATGTATATATGCAAAAGTTTTGAAGGTAGGATCTCTAAGAGTCATCTACCCTCCCATAATCATTGCAGCATTATTCCTGGTAACCAAAATATGAAACAACTTAAATGTCCACTGAAAGAAGAATGAATAAAGAAAATATGGATGGCATGGGGTGAATATATATATATATATATATATATATATATATATATATATTCATTATCAAAAATGGAAATCCTGTCATTAGTGACAACCTTGGTGAACCTGGAGGACATTATACTCAGTGAAATTAAGCCAGTCACAAAATGATGAATACTGCATTATTCTTATTTTTTATTTTTAGTTGTAGATGGACACAATAACTTTACTTTTTCTGTTTATTTATTGATTTCAAATACTGCATTATTTAACTTACATAAATTATCTTTTTAAAGAGTCAATTATATAGAAGCAGAGACTGGGAAAGCGGTTTCTAGCAGCAGCAGCAGGGAGATGGGAATAGTTAGCATATATTCATTGTATATGAAGTTTAAATTTCATAGAATGAATAAGTGCTAGAGACATTCCAGACAAAACTGTGCCTATAATAATTAGTAGTATATTGTACACTTAAATTTTTATTGAGAAGTTTCGTCTCATGTTAAATGTTTTTACCACATAAACACACATACACAAAGATTAAGGTATATCTATCCACATTGATATAGAAAGTTTTCATGGCACAATATTGAGTGGAAAAATTTGTGATATCAATCCATGTGTTGTGGTTTTTATAAGAATATGTGTGCATTTTTATCCTGAAATGCTACTGAAGAAATTACTAATGGTGGCTGTTTTTGGTGTCAAGATTGTGGGTTTACAAGTAAGGAAGGGAGCAAGATTATAGCACATTTCATAACTTCCTGATTATCTGACTCTGTTTTGTTACAAGGGTTAAAGGTGTAGCTCACTATATAGCTTGTCCAAGGCCCTAGGATTGATCTCCAGCACTGGAAAATAAATAAGTAAATAAATAAATACATGTAAAACACATGATCCTTGCTGATTAAGGAGTTTATAATCTAGTGGAGAGATGAATAAAATTTTACAAGATAAGTTTGACATCTCAACAGCATGAACTATCATCAAAACTGAGGTTCTGGATAGGGAATGGTAGTGAATGAATAAAAACTAATGAAGGAAGCTGAATGAAGTATTACTTGAATTAGAAAACTTACCTCAACATTATAAAGACTATATATCATATCAAATGGAGAAAAACTGAAAGCCTTTCCTTTAAAATCAGAAATTAAGACAAGGATGTCCACTCTCACCACTTCTGTTCAATATATTTCTTGAAACTCTATCCAGAGCAATCAAGCAAGAGAAGAAAATTAAAGGGATACAAATAGGAAAAGAAGAAGTCAAATTATCTGTTTCCTGATGACATGATCCTATATCTAGAAGATACAAAAAATCCACCAGCAGTCTTCTACAGTGGTAAATATATTCAGTAAAGTAGCTTGATATAATATTAACGTTCATGATTCAGTATCTTTCCTGTATTTCAACAGTGATTCTGCTAATAAAAAATCAGGAAAATCATCCCATTCACAATAACATCAAAGAAGATATATGGGAATTAATCTCGCCAAGGAGGTGAAATATCTCTACAATGAAAATTACAGAACACTGAAGAAGAAATTAAAGAAAATCTTAGAACATGGAACAACCTCCCATGTTCTTAGATAGGGAGAATTAATATTGCCAAAGTGGCCCTACTACCAAAAGCAATATACAGATTCAATGCAAGACCCATCAAAATATTTGTTGTCATTCAAAAGAACTTCATCTCGGTACAAATATATAGCTCAGTTCCACATTTAGCTAAGATATATACTTAGAAAACTCTGCACCCTGTATCAGACTTTTGTCACTTAATGTTATTTTTAAAAGAAAAGCAAAGGACCTAATTAATTCCCAGAAGTATCATTGAGGTTTGTGAAACGGCCAGAAGATTTCTGTTGTATGTCAAAATTATCTGGTTACTGTGCCAAGCCTCAGCTTTCACCTAGATTTCCTGGGTTATTAGAATTCTACTCTTTTCTCAAAATATACAAAATAATTGCCTGTGTTTACCTGAACCACAGCTAACTCTTCAGGATGCTAATAAAATAAAGGTGCTTGAGATTCCAACAGAAAGATAAAACTGACTTTAACTTTAGTCTTACATAGAGAAAACATCACTTTCTCCTTTAAATGTCCATTTTTCCCCTTTTCTAAATGGGTATTCAGTTTTAATTCTAATTGATTTTTATTACCTTATTTATTTTCTTAGTTAAAATATGCTCTTAGGGAGCTTTAAAAATAAACGCTCTTCCCCAATAAGCTTCTACTTAATAGGCATTGTCATAAAAGGTCGCCTTTAGCATTGCTAATGCTAAGACCCCAGCACATTTCTAGCAAATCAAATCAGGTTTTATTTAGTTCAATTTAAGGGATGAATCAGCTTTGCATGTCCTCTAAATGAATTACAAATTAATTGGCTGAGTGTGTTCAGTGTTCTGTTCATTATTCCTTCCATTCTGACAGTAATGCAGCTTAACCTGCAGTGGAGATTTTGGTGCAATGGAAAATTATGGGAATATTTATGTTAGCTGTTTTGATGAATTATTTGGAACTTCCTAGAATTTTATATTGTTTATGTTTTTCTAACTTTTGAGAATTTAAGCTACACAATATTGTGCAGTTGATGTAGGATGAGCTCTTAATATGATCGTCAGGCTGTTAAAAAATAAATAAAACAATTTAGGGCTATTCCTCTTGAAGATAAAAAGCTGGGATGACATGCTTTGATTCATTTATTGGGAACTTGTAATTTAGTATTTGGAAATATAATACATGTTACTCAGGGTTTTTTTTTCAAGTAAGGAGAAAAGATATACCTAATGATCAAATATATTAATAGATACATCACTCTTGTTACTAAGCTGAAAATTCATATATTACTTTTCCTCCTTGTGGCTAAAATTAATTTAAAACATACTTGTTCCCAATTGTTTAGTATTACATCATTTTTAGCTATTGTAATTTTTTAAAGTCATGAGTTATTGTTTTATACATCATTTTCCACTGTTACCCAAATATGATTTAGGAAGGATTCCATTTTAGATTTCATTTAGAAAGGAAATGTTAAAAGCCATCTATGTCTAGGAAGTGCGTGATATCTTGCCTCTCTTTTGGACCAGACAGTATCTTCTTAGACAGAAGGCAGCAACAGAAACTCACACCTCATGCCATGGTTTTCAACATTTGTATTAAACTCACATTTATAGTCTCTCTCTCTCTCTCTCTCTCTCTCTCTCTCTCTCTCTCTCTCTCTCTCTCTCACACACACACACACACACACACACAYACACACACACACACACACACACACACACACACTGTCTCTTTTCTCTCACCACAGTATACAGATACACAGACAAATACACAGATACACATAGTTTCAATTAAAGTCCATTTTTGGATTTTTCCACCACCCATTGAGATAATTGGAGAATTCGTAGGGATGAAGTCTGTAGAAAAAAATCAGAGCTATTTATGTTTCTAACTCTGTCATGGACTCTGTATGCCCTTATTGAATGAGTCCTTTGACCTTTATTTCCTGAAACCTTATCAGCAAAATGGAGGTCGTTATCCTATCATGTTTCTAATTTACTTCCTATGGTTGCCTCTAGGATTCATTGAATTAAAACAATGTAAAGCCCTTAGTTTATAGAATAAAAAAAATTTTGAGAACAAAAAGGTTAGGTTTATTGTGAAAAATTTTGAAGCCATAAATATGTTTGCTTTCTTAGAGCTATATTATCCTCTTAAATTTCAATTACTTACCTTTAAAATTAATTACAATATAACTAGAAGGTTTGTATGGCAAATCTAGATTAATTTATCAAAAGGCACTGATGTAATCATATCTTTGGTTTTTATCTGTGTGTAGTATTTGAATGTGAATGTGTTTTATACAAAAAATGAAGAAATATATATTAAATGTTAGCAAGTATTATTTACAAATTCGGGGTGACTTATATTCTTATTTATGTACATTTTTGACAGTGAATAAGTATTATTTGTGTAATTGTAATTACTCAAAACCAACATTTTAAAAATTTCTGATAAAAATCCAACTCTTGGCTAGGATTGTGGCTCAATGGTAGAGCATCCACCTAGCGCATGTGAGGCCCTGGGTTCGATATTCAGCACCACATAAAAATAAATTTAAAAAATAAAGATATTGTTTCCAAATACAACTAAAAATAAATATTTTTTAAAAATCCAACTCTTCATCCTAGCACATCAGAAATAAAATAAATGAAAATACTCATTTTCAAAATAAGGAAACAGAGAATTATGAAATGAATTCACCTACTAGTTTACATTTAGAGTAACAGTATAGCTCACCCTGATGACCCTTTCTATAGCACTGCTTTCTTTGTTTATTCTAATTTTTTAATAAAAAATGTATTGTTTAGCTACAGGACCGTACTCAGTTCAGTGATCGAGACTTAGCCACCCTGAAGAAATACTGGGACAATGGTATGACCAGCCTGGGCTCTGTTTGCAGAGAGAAGATTGAAGCTGTTGCAACTGAATTAAATGTTGATTGTGAAATAGTTCGGGTAAGGCATTTTCAATAATTGTCATGCTATAGTTGATGAGTGGTATAAATGAAAGCTTTTAAACACCACACAAAGTGCTAAAAACAATGCCATAAATAAAATGAAAGGATAACCCACAGAATGATAGATTTTTAAAATTATGCATTTAATATTAAACATATCCAAATATGTAAATAAATCTTACAACTCAGTTATGAAATGGCAAATACGGCAGTTAAAGATAAACAAAGGATCTGTGAAAACATTTCTCAAAGGAAGTATGCAAATGGCCAATAAAGACATGAAAAAATGTTTAACATTAGTCCATAATGAGATAACCACTCAACACATACCATTATACTACAATAAAGAAGACAGACAATAACAAGTTTTGGTCAAGATTTAGAGAAACTGGAACCCTTATACACTGCTTGGCATAATGTAAAATCTTTTAGCTACTTTGGAAAACTGTCTTCAAAAATTTAACATAGAGGTATCTTAGTTCTCAACAATTCTATTTCTATATAAATACTCAATTTAAAAGAAACCTATATCCACCCGAAAACTTATACACATATATTCATAACAGTAGTATTCACAATATCCAAAATGTGGAGATGATCCAAATGTCCACCAAATGAATGGAAAAACAAATTGTAGTATATGCATATAATAGAATATTATATAGCTATATAAAGGAATGAAAAGTGGACACAGCCTGCAGAATGGATAGGCCTTGAAAGTATCATTCAAAAGCAAATAAGCTAGTCACATTATTTTACATATTATATGATTCAATTTATATGAAATGTGCAGAAAAAATAAGCAAATTATAGAGATAGAAGGTACATTAGTGGATGTCCACACCCGAGGTTAAGGAGGACAGGGTAATGGCTGCTAATGAATACGGGTTTCTTTTTGTTCTGAATTAATCTAATTAATTTGAAAGTAGAGAATTGAGATTATTGCACATATCTGTGGATCCATTGAAAATGTTTTAACTGTATACATTAAATAAGTGAATTGTATGGTGTTAAATGTATTTCAGTAATGCTATTAAATTATATGAGGTAATCAGAAATAAATCTCACATATTCCTGTAATGAATGATAGATTTAAAAATATGCTGATTAATTATGAAAACCTTAATAGGGGGTTTTAGGTAGTGGTGGTTCTGGTATTTAACAATCAGCTGTTTAAGGAAAATGACATTGTGACATTATTATTTATTAATTTCTGTGGTATAAAATTTCCCACCCTAGACCAGGGGTGCACACCTGTAATCTAAGCTACTTTGGAGGCTTAGGCATGGGCATGAAGATTGAAAATTCAATGTCAACCTGGGCAACTTAGACCTTGTCTCAAATAATTATTGTTACAAAGGCTAGGAATGCAATCCAGTGATAAAACACTTACATGTGCAAGGCCTTGAGTTCAATCCCCACTATTTAATAAAACTAAAAAAGATTTTCATCATAGCCAGGCATGGTGGTGCATGCCTATAATCCCAAGAGGCTAGGAGACTGAGGCAGGAGGATTGTGTGTGCAAAGCCACCCTCAGCAACTGCGAGGCACTAGACAAGTCAGTGAGACCCTGTCTCTAAATAAAATACAAAATAGGGCTGGGGATATGGCTAAGTGGCTCAGTGCCTCTGAGTTCAATTCCTGGTACCCCCTACCTCCCCTCAAAAAAAAATATTTCTACCATAGCTGATGTGTCTTTCAATGCAAAGTTGTGAAGAGATGCTAACAAGTGAGTCTTGTTAGCAAGTAAGAACTGGCTTCAGCAAACACCAAAGAATCATCCCAAGAGATCCACAGAATAGTACTATTAAAGAACAAGTGACAAAACATAAACTTATTCTGGAAGAAATAAAGTATTTTCTTACATACATATGAAAAAGCAAACAACATAGGGAGAAATGGTGGAATACAGATTTCTCAAAAGGAATGCTATTTTAAAAATAGATAATATCCTGTTTAGAGCCTTGCTCTTTCTTGTTAGAATTCAGATGGGAAATCAATTTCAATTCTTTATTTACTGAGTATGATGCTATATGTTAGTTATACTAACAAGGAGGGCGAAATGCATTAGACACTTCTTAATTTTAAGGAGCTTAAAGTCTAGCAAGGATGACACAAGAATATAAATGACAGAAGAAGAATTGGAGTGGGATCATTGTATGAGAATCCTAAGTAAAAGCCAAAAAGAGGAAAGTGTAGAATATATGTCCTCATTGTCATATTTATTTTTATTTCTTTAAATCAAAGTTATACATGCATATAGCTTAAGTCATTCTATAGAATTTGTCAAAAAAATGAACATTCCTCACTTCTCCACTCCTACCGTTTTTCAATAGCCAGAATCAAACACTTTCCACTCTGTTAGATGATTCATTTGTATTTACTTCCATCTATACATGATGTGCTATATTAATTAAATTTACATTTAGCTGTAAGTTACAAAAACTCAAAGTAACAGGGACTAAGACAAATAATTCCATGTGTAAGTCCAGTAACTAGCATAGTAGTTCTGCTCTATGAAATCTTGAAACCATGGTGCCTTCATCTTCTATTTTGTTATTTTATAATGCATCCTCTTCAAAGTCCAAAATGATGGCATATGTAATCTAAGCAGTACAACAGAGAAGGGTAAGAAAAAGTGTCAAAGGGTGTTAAAAAAAACTACCTTTTAAAGGGTAAAACTGCCATATGATATTCGAACTTATACCCAACTGGCTAAAGATTATTCACATGGTCATCCCAAACTACAGGGTAAGCACGAATATTATTTTACTGTGACATTAATGTGCCCAGCTAAACCTGCTATTATTCTGGAAGAAGGTGAAAATAAGTATGGGGAATAGCCAAGTATCTTTTCCATATCTATTTATATTGCTACTTCTTGATTTTTCAACATTAGACTATGTCTATTCATTTTTTGAAATGCAAGGATTTTTTCTTAAAAATTCTCTTTTTTAGAATTCTTTCATTGACCATTTTATTTACATACATAATTCCTCTTCCATTATCCTCCCTTAATTTTCATCAATTTGATACTCAATATTAACATTATTATGACTATGTAAATGTGTTACATCATTCAACTGGGTTGTACAATATCAGTTTTTCCCTTTCTGCATAACATTATTTTATTACCCTGAAGTTCATAATTTACTTAGTTTTTGTTTTTTATATTATGTTTGCTTGTTTAGATTTCTGTGTGCTTAATACTAGTACATCCTCAAACACTCTCCCAGTTGTATATACCTCCTTTCAATTCATTCATAAACATTTGGTAGTGAAACAAATCCTGAAGCTATATTTCCTGTAGTCTTCTGATGTTTTCCAGTCTGGATTGGTTACTCTCTGCATCTGGAATACAACTTTTATTCTGAGATTCCCATTTTTATATATTTATCCTTTTGATCTACCATCAGTAACTATGTTCAAACTGTCTGTCTACTGAGTTTTTTAGTTTTTTTTTTAAATTTTCTATGACTATGTCACTGATACTAGTAAGGAATCTGTGCCATTTTCTGCCATAGAGCCTTCTTGAGATCCCCAAATTGCAAGAGACAGGAGAAAAGGACAGCAGCTTTTTTAAAAGCATACAGTGAAAAGATAAAATATCCAGAGAATTCCTGACAAGTATTCTATCAATGACCAAAGCCATGGACATGAGAGCCCTCACTGAACCATTACTATGTGCAGAATACTGTATCCCTGAAGCAAGTCCTAATTAGAAGAAAAAGGAGGAAGAAATGATACTATTTTGGTTATATATTATCTATTATTTCTGGTGATTTTTGAACATGTCAGGATGTTCATGTCAAGGAGAAAAGGTGAAGAGGTCATGTGTTTTAAGAGGGTTTCTTTATAATATCTGGTAAATTACACTAAAGAAGAATGTGTTTGCCATAAAATATATTCTCTAGATTTCAGGAAATTACTTAGATGTTCTAAAATCTAATATACCTTCTAGTTATTGATAACATCATCATAGTTATTGATAACAAAATCTTTGCCACAGGCTGTTAACCATTACTCACAATATAATTTGGAAATTTTAGATTTATTTTTCCTTTTTATAGAGTTGTTCCCTGTGCTTATTCATGGGCAGTATGTTCCAAGATCTCCAGTGGATTCCTGAAGCTGCAATTAATGCCAGATCTTCTATACACTATGTTTTTCCATACATGTATACCTATCATTAAGGTGATTTCAAAATTAGACACAGAAAGGGCTCAAAGATGGCAGAATAAAGACACTCAGTACTTGTTTGCTTCTCCACAGAATAGAAACAAAGTTAATAGGTGTGTAACTGCTTGTGTGAGCACTAGAAATTGACAGCACAGAAAACAAAACTTGGTGAATTCCATAGATTATGGAAAACAGTGAAGCAAGAGAAGAGAAACAGGCTAGCACCTGGTACCTGGCACTTCCGTTGGGAGAAAAACAGTTTCCGGTAGAATGCTGCATCTTGCATGCCAATAGCTTAAATAAAAAGGTGACCTGGATTCTTCACAACAAGCTAACTTTAGAGAAGAATTTCACTGCATCTTTCAGCAAACTCGTAAAGTACTATATTCAGCAGCCATCTTGAAAAGAATTGTATTGTCAGAGACCAAACTGCTTTGGGGATAAGATAACTCAGCAAAATCACATCCCAGTGCCCCTGTGGACACTCCACTGCATTGACTGAGCAGGAGTAGCCATGCTTGAGAGAAAGTCTCTGACACAGACCTGCTGAGAGATTTATGTTGCAGGGAATGCAGGCTGTGACAAGAGACAGGAGTGGAAGGCACAGTGGTTCAATTATACTGCCATGTGTGGTTTTGCATGTGGTGGGGCAGGACTGAAGGCACCAAAATCAAGAGTAGCCAATCACAGAACCCAATGGTTCAGTTGCTCCTTCCAGCCTCAGAGGCATTCTGAGGATCTTTCATGGCTTTGACATTTACCACAACCTCTAAGTGCATAGACAAAAAACCTCCAGAGCAAATACACACTCCACATGA